TGGCTGCCGGCCGCCATCTTGGCTGACAGTTAATTTGCATAAGGATATGCTGATTAGCCAATGGGAAGGGTAGTGGTCGTACGCTAATTACCATGTTTCTCTTTTATTAGTGTAGATAGCTTACTAAAGTGTGGCAAGTCCTATGATCCTATGACTTAGCCAGTGGGTAATTTTCCCCCACAAGGGATATTCGGCAATATCTGTGACATTTTTGATTGTCAGGCTGGTAGTGGAGGCCTGATACTTTCATCCAGTTGGTGGAGGCCAGGGATTCTGCCTAACATCCTGCAATGACCAGGAAAGCCCCCAACAGTAAAGAGTTATCTGTTTCAAAATGTCAGTAGTGTCAAAGTTGAGAAATTTGGCTTAATGGTGGTTTTCAAACCATTTCCTTTGAGGAAAACATTAATGAAACAAAATCTTAAATAGAAGCTCAATCTATAAAATAGAAATAAAATAAGTAAAAAGAGTATTTTGTTAATATAAAATTATCTTATAAGTTCAATGTTTACATCTATTTTAATGACCACACAAATTTGGAAGCAGGAATTATAATTAGGGCCTTAAATAAATCTCCCTCAGCAGTAATATTTTTTTGTTGTATTTTATTAGTATAGTATTGAGAAAATCCTAATATTAGTGAAACATTTGTTTCTAAAAATCTTATATGACCAGTTATAGGCTACCCTGAATTGGGTAAAAAAACCCATACCTGTGTGCCAAGTAACCACCTCTATGATCAATGACACCTTTCTACATGGTTCAGATACATTCTTAGGTAGTTGATCTCTAGCAGGAGCTTAATGATGGATTAACAGTGGTTCTCAACCTTCTGGCCCTTTATTTAATACAGTTCCTCATGTTGTGACCCAACCATAAAATTATTTTCGTTGCTACTTCATAACTGTAATTTTGCTACTGTTATGAATCATAATGTAAATATCTGATATGCAGGATGGTCTTAGGCGACTCCTGTGAAAGGGTCGTTCGACCCCCAAAGGGGTCATGACCCACAGGGTGAGAACCACTGGATTAAAAGGAAGCGTTACTTGCTTCAAAGCAAAAATTCTCCATGCTCTGCATAAATTAACCTGGCTGCGTAAGTTAATATTGAGGTGGTCTTGAATGCATTAAAATGTACATAGGACGCTATATAGTGTACTTGTTTTTTATTATAGTTTTAAATAATTATAACATTTTAACATAAAATTAGAATGAAATATTATTTGTGGGACTGTTAACGAGCTTTAGAGATACTTGAAAATAGCATTTGACTCCCACTGGTCGGCATATCTCACTTAATTGACCTCATTTTCAGACAGGTGTCATCTGGTTAATTAACCGCATCACATCAAAATCAGGACATGCCTTGAAATCTTACGCGGAACCACTGATTCACACGTTGTGAAGCTCTGGAGTTTTTACAAAGCAATTTGAAAAGCTAACAAAGCCTTGTGTGTAAAATGAATAACTAATGTCTCATGTGCATGGATCCTACAGTTGCGATAATAAAAAAAACACTCAACTTTTGGAAAGCATAACTGAACTTACTATTGCTATCTTTATGATCAATCCACTCAGCAATCAATAGATAAAATAAATCTAATTGATATTATCTTGGGAAACCATACATCATACCAGAGACTTGTCCATGACTGGATATTTTTTCAGTTATGATATCCTGGACAAGTTAGTTTC